AGAGGTGGGAAAAAAGTCGATCTGAAAGCAAAGCATTTTCCTTCAAAAGAGCTTTCTATTGAAATATCCGGTATTCTTTGATTTTGAAAATCCTTTGTATATATCATTACTTTAAATATAGTTTGTGTATCTTCCTTTTCTAAGAACTTATTTCAATAATTCTTTTTTGCAATTTTGATAGCTTGGAAATATTTATTTCTAGTTATTCGATATTCTTCCTTGAAGATAGAATTCTTTGAATTTGATTTAATCAATAGTTTTGATTTTCCTAGCTCTTTTTAAAGACTTTTCAATTCAGGTGTTCATTATGGTTTAGCCTTTTTATTCGATCTGATTTTAGGTATATATCTCTCTGTTGCCTTTGTGATAATCCTAATAAGCTTATTAGCTGCCTGGTTTAGGATTAACGAATAATTGTTTCTTTCCTTTAATAGATTCAATGAATCTTCTTCAATTGAAGTTATTGAATCTAAAGTTGAAAGAATATAGGAATTTGAGGATTCTGATTTTAATATTAATTCAAACTTTTCCCAATTAGCTAGTTTTATATTGTATTTAACCAATAATATTATATTAGATATATTTTATACTTCTTTTCCTTTCAATTTGAATAGGATCCCTAAATAATCAAATCTTATATTAATAAGTGTTTGCCAATTTTGGATTTGAGTTGAAATTCCTTTTGTAGCAAAAGTGAGATCTAGAATATTTGGCTTGGTTTGATTGATATGATAATATATGCTAGTTCCAGGTTCATTTAAAAGTGTAAGATCTTTATCTTCCAACTATTCGGCAAGGTAGTTGATATTTCCGCTTTTATTGGAATAAGGATTCTACCAAGGGTAATAGGTATTAAAATCGCCTAAAAGAATCGTTTTTTGTGTAATAGGCGTATGGAATAGGCATTTTTCGATTGTGTATTTTTTCTTTTTTGTTTGATCTGTTTTATTATAGATATTGAAAATTTGGAATGCTTTATTTTCGTTCTGAACATTGAATATTTACATATCTGGATCTGTAGGCGAGTTGGTGATTAGGTTGATTATAGATTGAAATGATTTTGATATATATAATAATGTGTGTAGCCGAGTGTTTGGATTGAATCTTGGAAGTAGTTGAGTATAACTGGAATAGGAAATGGACCTTGAAGTTGAATAATTGTTTCCATTTTTAATGATCCAAGGTTCTTGAATGATAATGAGATCGATATTAAGCTCGATTGCAAGTTGTAAAGCGCTTTCTATAGTTTGTAAACTTTTATTAAGGTTTATTTGAAGGATTCGTATATTGGCGTAACTCATTGATTGGTATTGTAAGATTTTTGTGGAATTGCTTGATAGATTTCACAGGTTTTGGAATCTGCTGTATAATCTCCTTTGCAATTAAAGTATTTAGGAACAAGATATTGGTAACGCTTTTCTTTGATACTACATACTATACAGAGATACCCTATTGTAATATGTTTGCTACCATATAGTCCACAAGAAGGGTCTTTTTTATAATATACATCTTGGTATCCAAAGCCTTGGTATTTATAATATTGTGTATTTGGTTTAGATTTGTAGAACTTTTCTACTTTTATACTGACTCCTACAATATATAATTGTTTGTAAATAGTTAATTCTATTTTTTGTTTTGTTACAAATATAATTACTATTACTTCTTTCTATTAATTAGCTTTTTTGGAAGGTAGTATAAGCCAAAAAAGAGTTTTTATTAGTTTGAAATCAGGGTTAAAGGTTTTGATTTCTTTTAGAATAAGATCTATTCCTTTTCTTCCTGAGAATTCCTTTATAGGGATTTTGTGAATAATGATTTTGTGCCATTCTTGATCTTTTTGAGTTTTTTCGAATTCAATAACATTGTTCCAGATTGTCTTTTTCTCTAATAGGAATTGAGATATGAATAGGTGATTTGTAGTAATTACTATATTGTTATTGATAGACAAAGTTACTGCTGCTACTATAGGACCTTTAATTCCTGTTTTTTGAAAATGCTTTATTTATTTGATTTTTTATTGTTAATGGCAAGAAAGAATTGATATTTGGAATATCAGGTTTGATTAG